ATCCTACTTTCATTTTATTAGGAAGAGAAATAAGGATGAAGATGAGATTAATGCAAGCAAATATAGACATTCACTTAAAAAAGCATAAAAGCAGCACTACCCCACTATAGATTTTATATCCCTTTTAAATTTTTTATTTTAAGTGCTTACTATTATAATTTTATATTTAATGCATTAAGGATAATGAATGATTCAAGAGGGGGGTATTTTTTGTATTTATAGCTTTTAATCGAAGCTCTTAACTTTGTTGCAAAATTTTATTTTTTTCTTATACTCTATGCTAGTCATTTGAGACAAGTATTTATTTTGAGTCATCCATGTGTTGTTTGTAATATCACCTTTTCTAAGAAGGAAGAAGTTGGTTTTATCCTATCTTTTATTTTCATCGTTGCCTTACCCAAATTATCACATTAAAATATTATAACTTACCAAATTTTTATAATTAATAACTAAGATAAAGTGATTTAATCATCTTATTTAAATTGAAAAAGGATAATTAGTTTAATAATATCTACTCATTTTTCAATATTTTGAAAGACAAGCAACCCATCCATAAGCATATTGATTTTTTTGCTGTGCAAATTTCAATATGAAAAATAAATTTAAGCTAACCTAAGCAAACTTTTTTTCCAGGTATATCTAAAACTTATGAAGTTGATTAAAATATTTATATTTATTTGGTTACATAATAATAAAATACTAATAACATATTTGGATAGAAAAAAATTATCAATTAGGCATTTCCATCTTCAAAAATAAATAATTGATTGAGAATAATTATCAAGAAAAAAGTAAAAGAGTTATTATACATAGGAAAACATATAAATAATAATAATAGAAATAAGGGTGAGAGTTATTTTTGATATAGTAGAAATTTGAAAATGTATTTAGAGATAGAATCATCCTTTATTGCAAGTCATAATATATGTCTAATCATGCAAAAAATTATTTGACATGCTATACACCAACAAAAAAATCCTTATAGCATATAGATGATTCTATAATATACATGTTAACACAATCTTAATTTTATATGAGTTACTTAAATTTTTATTAGAATTAATTGAGATTGCTATAGATAGGGATAATAAATATGTTGGTATATTGCCCAATTAATTTTACTCAATGGTTTTTTATACTAAGCCATTCACATAGCTTAATTGCATTTTATGCAAAAAAAAAAGTATACAATACATTTACATTTTTTCATGTGTATTTGTGAAGTATATTTTCTAAAAGTTACTCATTTTTTACTTAATCAAGGATAAAAAAGATTTAATTGTGAGAGAGTATAATTGCTTTAGATATAATTCAATTATTTGATATGAATAAAATGTAAATCGGTGGCTATTTAAGCAAAATAAAAATATTTTTGAGATATATTGGGCTATCTTAATGATTAAGCTTTGTCCCTAGGTGTCTGAGTGTCTTGTTTGAGCATGATTGATCTCAAGCACTCAAGTCCCTAAAACAACCATTTTTGAGGCCGGGATTAAAAAAAGTAGGTGCCCGAACACCCTAAACTAGCACCAAGGGGGAAAAGGTTACAATATTAAAACCAAAAGTCATAATGTAGGGTGCCAAGGCGCCACTGGGATCCCATTTACAAAATTGTCCATTTTTTGGCCATGAAAATAATCTGCTTTGGATTGAATAATAAATGTGTTTCTAAAAAGACTTTCAAGAAATTTCAGTGGACATTTAGTCCAAGTTTTGGAGGTCGTTTCTATGATTTCCATGCTACCATTTTAAAGTAAATTGAAGGAGAAGATCAAGATAAAGATGAGTCGTAGGAAAGAAGGAATAAGCAAGGGTGAAAAGAGAGAGGCTACGGAATGAAGTTTCTTCTGCTCCTTCCTTTATTTTATTTAGTAAAATACTTAATTTCATGTTTTTTTTTTCTTATTTTTCTTGAAATAAATCATTTTCTAGGGAATGGATGTAACCATAATAAATTGTGTTGGAATTGATTTTTAATGAATGTTTTTAAATTTAAGATTATAATGTGTTCACTAATGCATATTAATTGGCTAACCACCAAAATTTAATAGGTTTAATTGAAATCAAAAGGGGAGAGTAGACTAATCTTAAGCAAACTGCTATGGCGAATGATTCATAGGTTTAAGGTAAGTGCAAGGAATCATTTAGTTAATTTTAAGATGCCTTTGAGATATAGATAGGTTTTATATAAAGAATAAAAATCCTAGGCTTTCAAATAAAGGTAGCAAGCCACTTTGGTCATAAGTTAGTAAAATAAAACAAAATCCTTGATTTTGAAATTAACCAATTAAGTTATCATAGGTGAAAGTCAATGCTTTTAAATCTTAATCGTACTTTCCTCCTGAGTTTTTTTTTTTTTGGTTGACCTAATGTTAATTAATTTATTTTTTATTGCTCTAGTTCAACTACATAATAAACCAATTTTAATACTTGTTCAATCTCGATCAGACGACACGCTTTATTACTTGATTGGTCTTATCCTTACATGCATTTTCCATCTTATTGAGGCACATACACAATAATTATGTCATTACAATTATATTGTAGAACACAATCATATCCTCTCTTTTTTTCATTCTAAGTTGTATCATAGAACCTAGACACACATTAGACATTACTCCCATTCATTTATCGTAATTTATTATATTTAATTTATGTGCCTATTCATTATTAATTATATTATGGTAGGTCAAAAATCACTCATTACTCACTTAAGATTTTAAATCATTTATTCTAATAATGGAATAAGGTAAAATAAATCATATGTAATTAGTTTCACAAAAAAATAACGATTGTTTTCTCATTATTTTTTAAGGAAATTAATAATAGCCCTTTTATGGATTGTCAATGATTATCAACAAATACATCGGGTTGATATGAATATATGTCAAGCCAAAGAGTTTACAAAATAAATTTATTTTGAATTTCAAATTAAGGTTTGAATAATTAAAAAATGCCTCCTATCTCGTTAGATGGTTATCCCTCCCCTGTAAAATTCATGAGTTACACTTTCTTAATCTCTTGTAAAGTTTGTCTTAGCAAGCTCATTTATATTATATTTATCTAGAGGATATATGCTAAAACCCTCTCAAAGATCAAAGTTTGACTCTAATATTAGGTGATGACCTAATTCTCTTCGAAGATAGTTTCCTAATGGTGAGCATTGTTGTGAAATTTTGAACAACACTTTCTAGTAACAAGGATCAACATAGGATTAATAGTATCATTTTTAAAATATGAAACCTAACGTAGATTTATGTCTCCTTTCAGCATCCCATGTTGCTCAAGATTGCATGCGCCAAGTTAACTTTTTTAGGATTTTTATCTTCAACCTTTTAACAATTTATGGTATTCTTTTTTATATTCTTAAAAAAACATTTTTTAAAATATTACCATTGAAATTTTCATTGCATGGTCATGAATTTAATTAAAAGGTTTCTAAAATTCTAAATGTCCTATGATATAATTTAACATTTAAAATTGTTCTTATGTAGAAGTCAACTCCAAAATTCAATAAATCCCACCTATCCTTTCTTTGTGATAAATAAAGGAGATATCTATGGTATATTTTAGTATTTCATATTTATTTGATTGGTAAATTAATAGTAAATTATCTTCAATCTATTAAGATAGTACAATCTTATAATTTTAATGACAAATGTAATGTTTAAATTGATCCCATAAAGACAACCTTTTCACCTTAAATCATCTTTTAAAGCAGATAACACCATGGCTCATATTAAATACAAAAGGTCAAGGGTCTATTTGAGCTCTTTTTTTATTTTATTTTCATTTTTATTTTTTTATTTATATTTTAATTTAAAATAGAACATATTTATAAAGTTATAACATGTTTAATTATTTTTTAAACTACTAAAAACCTTAAGATATTTTCAATATTTTTAAAAACAAGTTAATTTATTTTTTAAAAATAAAAGATAAAAACATGCAAAAAAATTCACTAAACAATCATAAATTTAAAACAAAAATAAAAAATAAAAATAAATATAAAAATATAAAAATGATCCCAAATATGTCCTAAAAAACAAAACCATTTCTACCTACAAGGCTGCTGATCACTAAAAGGAATCTATTTCAAAAGGAAGACCTGTAAACATTTCCAAGTGTTGGCGGTAAGGATTTAAAACCAAGTTACATGATTCAAAACATGGAGAATTTAGTGTTTCAAGACAAGTCATGAGCTGCAAACTTCAGATTCGAATTCATCTGCATGTTACTTCTTTCATAAAACTTGTATAACTGATTTTATGACCTTTCATATGCGGAAAACTTGATTATAAGAAAATTAAACTGTTTTGGTTGGCAGAAATACTTGGCAGTTAAACGGATTTGCAGGTCATTGTTAGGCAGATGATCTGATCGTAAATAATCTCAAACCTATAAAAGTTTGAATGAAAAAAATTATTCAGAAAAGAAAAAAAATTTTGCACGCATAATATGAAGTTAATATTATGAAGCCTACCTAATAATTCATTTGCTTCAAAAATTTAATTACCTTGTGGAAAATTTACATATATAGTACACAATTTAATGTATTCACATATCTCACACCTAAACTTTGATATTTACACACTATTTTAATGCTTTAGACTATGCAAGAAAATGTGTATGATTATTAAAAGGTGGTGATATTGCTACCTTTGATGTGATATTAAAGATTCGGGTGCTATGCATGTAAATATGACAGTATAGGTGTGTGATATGTAAAAACACAAGAATTGTGCGCTAATCTTTAAGAAGTGTTTTTAGCAATGTATTCCAAATACATCAATCCAAACAACTCCCCCCTCGAACAAGCACCTCTTGGATCTTCAATTCATCTGTCAATAGACAGTTTATTGGCTTTTCTTTTATGCGCTTTTTCAAGGCACAGACGTGAATGTCTTAATAGTGAAGATGAAAAACTGCCATTCTTTCATTGCAACTTTCTTGAATAATCTCTTTGAAATAAATTTTCAAAGATGTCGTAAACTATAGCATTAAAAACGAACCCAAAAATAATATAAATTGCTAGTAATCAGAGAGCGTATACACACCTAAATAATGCACATTTGCGCTGCGTTTCCATCACTGCTTAAACTATTAAAAGAAAACAGGGAGGGCATGATAGTGGGGCATATCTAAATACCCTCCTGATTTTATTACTAATCTATCACTATCAATCTAAGAATGAATATCATTTGTCGGTATGCTGGCCACCTTTTTGTAATAAGCTTTCTCTGCTTCTGCTAATCGAGTTTGAAACATACTCCACTCTTTATGGCACCGCTCTCTCACCTACCAGAACGTACGAGATCATGAACTTGTATGCTAGGTATGAAAATTTCCTCTTTTTTTTTTTAAACTTTAATCATGAAATGAAAAACTGGGACAATGATTAATTACCCCTTGCCATGGAGCTTTCCCATCTTCCGCCTGGCCCTGTTAAGCAAAACAAGATGAGCTAAAACTGAGGCCAAACCTTCATTTCATACATATCCATATATACATATACATATCCATATATGTTGGTCTTCAGAACTATTCAATCTTTAAATTAGCCAATGTTCTTTAGAGCATCTCTAGTAAGGGTAAAGAATATTATTGCT